GGTTGCGAACGGTTGCGAACGGTTGCGAACGGTTGCGAACGGTTGCGGACGGTTGCGAACATAGAAGCAACGGGTCGCGAACAAGACTCTACCCCCAGACCCCCAGAGTTAAACGAGAACCCTTCGCTACGCATTCGGGAAAATAAGGAAAACGCATCTCGCATGCCCAGCCACGGTGAGTACTTGATCTGCCCTACTTTCTGCTGAAGTCAGCATCGAAGAAAGTGAGAACAGGACTTGGGGCCGACAAGGCCAAGACGCAGACCTCAATGGCGATTTCGGCCACAGACCTCCATGTCCAACTTGTCCTTCCGGACGCTTCCTGTGCGCATGGAGTGCATCGCGATACTTCCCACTGGTCACTTGCTCCAGAGCTCTCACCCCCCAGAGCTCACGGTGTCCGTTCTCCAGAGCTCATCCCACAGAGTTCGGCACATCGCTACCCCCCAGAGCTCGGCGTCCGATCGTGGTGCTCGTCTCGCTGTGTAAGCACCACGTCCAATCCTGTTCCAGGTGCTTCAAGAGCAGGGCCTTGCTTTAAAGAGTCTCTTTGACCAAATCAGGCACATCCTCCCCGGCTCGAGGCCAAAGTGCCCAGCCAGGAGGCGAGGGGAGCCCATGTTTCACCAAGTCAAACACGGCAAAGGCCACTAAGACCATAGAGACGCCTTAAGGCCACTAAGACGACTTCGAAGTGGAAGACCACTAAGGCCACTTATATAGACTTCCCGCCCAGAGCACTTGAGCACCATGCCCGGCGCATTTCTAAGGGCATATCTCACGTAGCGGCATGTTTCTGCGTGCGCTCGGGAAAGTAGACTGGGGACATGTTTCTGTCTCTCGCCAGGTCCTGCCCCATGGCGCCCCATGGCCCCGGCCAACAAGAGTCGAATCCTTTTTCCGGTGCCGGAGCTCAGACGGGTGGGACCTTTCGACGAAGAAAGAGGGGCTTCAGGGAAAGAACAAGAAAAAACCGGGACTGAAGGGTTTCAACAGTTGCTATACAGACCAAAACTCAAGAGCTTCACGGAGCAAAACTACCGGGTAAGTCCTTTAGGATCCTCATCCCGGTCCACCATCCCAAAGATGCTCCACCATCCCAAATCTTCAACTCCCCCCGTTTCACCTTTCTCAAACGTCCCGTCCTTGCCAAGCAACAGCAACTGCATCCCCACCTGGGGGGTCTCCAGCAATCTTTTACTACACTCCTTCCCACCTCCGCTTCGCTTCCGCTTCCGCTTCCGCTTCGCCTGGCTCTTTCCAAGGCTTCCTCTTGCGGACTGCCCTGTCCGGCGGTGAAGATCGTCGCGCGCTCGCGCGCGATCGAATCACGGAAGCGTCGGGGGTGCCGACGTCGGACCCGACCTAGACCCTTCCTGGCTGGACCTGACGACTCAACTCATCCGACCCCAACACTCTTGGGGACCCCAACTGAGAGGCTTGCGAAGCGACGGCTCGGCTTCGTTTCGGGCTCGCGAAAATCCGACTTGGCTCACAACATCAAAGCGCGAGGGAGGGCGGGCAGGAGTCCAGGCTAGGTTCATTTGGCACAGTATGTCCTTGGTCCAAGATGATCCAAGTCATTCCAAGTCTAGTCTCTTCATGCTTCTCCATCCACTTCTTCTCAAGGTTTGCCCACAAGCCACATTTCCTGAGGCCAAAGGCCCAGAGAATCCCATCACCATGGTACAAACGATGAAATCAAAAGGCTGCTACGTCCAACAGCTTCCAAGGAGTCATTACGTCCAACAGCTACGCTTGAGGGCTGTGTGGATCTCCATTAGACACCCCAAAGGGAGCGTCCAGGTGGGCTTTGTGTGCAAATCAGGGGATCAAACCATGCGAGCTGTGTCTCAAATCCGGTAGGAACAATCCCCTATGGTATACTATACTGTTTGCAATTCTCACCTCAACCCCCATCCGTTATGGGCCGGAGCTGCCTCCGAGCTGGGGGCCGGATAGTCGGCCATCAGTGCGCCTGAGCGGCCGCTACGGTGCCACCAGTGCCACCAGGATCTCTAGGATGGGTCAGCCATCCAGAGTTGGAGACAAACCAAAGGCCTGACCATGCCGTGCCGAACCTGGTAGTAGAACCTTCTCAGCGGGTTCTCATACTGATTGGGGCTTCTCATCTTTGCATGGAGTAGCATGGATATCCATGGATAGATATAACAGTTCCGGTTTGAGCCGAGGGTCGAAGTTTCGACGGCCCACCCCGGACCGGATCTGAGGTGGGGTGTCTCGAGTCTAGAGTTGCCTCAAACATGCCCACCAGCGCACCAGCCGACAAAACGCTTCGATGACCAAGGAATAAGAGTAGATCCATACCCGCTGCTTGAAGGAGTGGTTTCTCGAGCTCTTAGAGCCCCCACCCGAACTGTCATGTGAACTTGGTTTTCTTTGGATTTGCTGTCTTGCAAATATGCTCTCTCTATCCCAGCCTCCCCAAGCCACCCTTGCGCCCCTTCCGTCCCCCACCTGCCATGTGCCCTTGCTGCGCCTGGTGCGAACCGGTGGGCCCATGCGCCGAACCGGTGCAGACGTGGAGGGTGACTGGTTGGCCCTCCCAGATTGAATAATAAGGAGGACCAAATGGACAAGGAGAAAGTCCAGGATGAGGGTGAGAAGAAAAAGATGATGTGGGGGCCGAAGACAATTGAAAAAGCACCACTGGAAACCCCCAGATCGAGAAAGTAGAAGTCGCCTGGTCATCTCAATGACTTGCAATCGTTTGAGCTCCAATATCAGACCATTCACCGCCACCTGGCAGTGGCCACCGACCGGCACCCGCGCCTCCAGCTCCGAGAGGCGCAGGGCATGCTGCAGGAGCTCTGCCTGGATCCGCTGCCAAGACTGCGTGTGTGTGTGTGTGTGTGTGTGTGTGTGTGTTGTCGCTGGTGGTTTTGTATGATCAACTCCAGTCTTGAACATGAGGCTCCTGACCCGTCTTCGGACCTAGTCACCCATGGAAGTCCCCCCAAAACACGACTTACTAGTATACTACTCATGGGATGTTCGTTGGGACACCCTCCAACCAAAGGTCCGATCGCCTTTCGCACCGCACTTCGGACCGACGTCCTACCCAGCACCGGCGGAACCACCGGCCCGAAAGATCTCCGAAAGCGGGCGGTGCTCCTCGGAGATGTCGGTCGGCTGATACTCATGACCGGGCCGACGCCTGGAGGCGAGGGAGGTGGCACGACGCGAGGAGCTGAGAGAGCGGACGCCGTTTTTCGCGGTTTTTCGGTGGTTTTTCTGTGGTGATCCAAAAGGAACTCACCAGAAAAGTCTTGGGAGCAACAATCGATGCAAGGAGTAAGTAACTGTCCATCATAATTTCCTGAAGTAATTATTGCATATTATATAACCATGGAAAACCTGTTCAATCCTTTTCATATTGGGAGGGTTTGATTAATCAGGGTGTGTTTTTTCTCTCGTGAGGTCGTTTCACGAGATTCGGTCTCGGTCTAGACCCTGAGAGTCCAGGCCAAATGGCTTGAGAGCAGATGGCACTACCCCAAGAGGTCCTTTTTGGCACTGGGCTCCATGTAAACCACCTCACTAACTTGGGGATTGTGTCACATCTACTCTCAACCCACAAGAAATGGGACCCGGCAGACTGGTTGATGTTCCGAACCCGAACCCAGGGGGTTGGGACGCCTGTTGTCGGCTTCTTCCTAGGAAAAATACTCGCCAAAAAAGAAACCGTTACCCTGGCCTTTCGTGGTGGATTATGACCAGCAGGTGGAGTGGCCAGGAGTCAATGGCCGGAAGTTCTGAGAGACCGCCGCGATGTCGTGATGGGAACGACTTTGGGGGGCGTCATTGGAAGTTCTGATCGTCCCACGTTTGCTGCTATTGTTCTTCGTACTGCGGTAATAGAATACAAACAAAGGACATCAAGGCATACATGAGTGCTTGGCCTACTACAAGTGTACTCAATCATCCTGATTTGAGAGTCCGTCCTTCCACCCAACGTACTCAGCATCCGCTCATGTCGCCCGGCCACATGACGGCTCTCTTTTTGTGTTCCATTCGAAGCGTCCTGTGTATGTGTTCACCACCGAGAGCAGCGAAGCACCCAGCGTGTGGATCGATCCAAAGATCTGAAATCAGGTGTGCAACAGCATATCCCTGGCCCAACAAAGGGTGGATTTGGCACCCCCAACAGATCCCTACTCGAGCTCAAAATGATGTCCAGTTCCTGCCAAACTCACCTGTGTTAGTGCAAAAGCACTGTAACTACTCCATCCACCATTTTAGAAAACCGTTTCCAGTTGCTCCAACTCGACAGTCATCTCCTTCATCTCTCCCCCAGCGATGGGAGCTTCGCTGCGACCCAGCACGGCTTGAAACACGTCCGCCGGACCGCCAGTGGCGCGAAGTCGGAGCAGAGCGACGAGTCTTCGCCCCGTCCGGGGAAGGGCTTCACACGGATGGACTCCTCCGAGAACGCATGGAAGGGGAAAGAGAAATGAGATGGTTGACTTCGCGGTGTTGATGTCTAATTGAATTATGTTGTATTAAGTGTGGTTGTATTATGTTGTAACATTTTATGTTATTGTCTATTACAGGTATGTTCTGTTATATATGATGTTATATTCTATTGCAGTATGTTCCGTTATACTTTACTGTACTATAGTATACACATCGAAATCCTATCTGTTTCAGACAATGCAGGACAGTTGACTGCAAATCATAAACACTTGAGGATGCTTGAGCGTCGATCAAAAGCACTAGATTGCAATAGCAACATCAAAAAAGGCTTGATTCTTGGTTCGAGGGTGACAAACCATGAACGGTTAGACTTTGAGCAAGCAAAACATTCTGCTCTTGTCGTGAACTAGGCCTCCACCACTTGAAGCATCAACTCTTGAACCCGTTGAATTGCGTGGAGTTGGGGGAGCCTACGGCTACACAAATGCCTCAAAATAGCCTTCGTCCATCAACCAGTACTGCCAACCAACCCATGCTCTCCCATACACCTCTGTCTGATACCATGAAAACCAGCCAATGGAGCCTACATACAGTATATATCACATTTGTAAAAATGGATCCCAGTCTACATGGAATATGTGTCCATTCTAATTACTGGTTGTTCACAAAAGGATTTCAGTCCAGACCTCTTTGCTTCCTATGCGTCGTGATCCTTTGCAACCTCTGTGAGGTCGCCAGCCCATCTGGGAAGACGGAGGGGGGCGCTGCGGATCGGCGTGAGGGACCAAAAGAAAGCCCCACGCTGGAAACATCTGGAAACCCATGAGCTGTGTATTTCTTCGTTGATTCGACCCCACGATCCAATTAGACTGGTCTCTTCCCTATTCACTCTTCCCCAGGGGGTCAGGACGCCAGCAGTTCGGTCTCCCTATTCGCCCATATGATCTGAGACATGTTCGCACATGTTTGGTCCGCCAGGCCCTCCAGTCTCCCCAAAACCCCCCATCGCGCACACGGGTCAAACTGCCCGGAGGCACAGGCGTTGGTATTGATCGCTGGAGCACACCGGTCGCATCAGGCCGTTTGGCCAGGCTTGTGACCAATGATGGCTGTGGCTTAAAGACAGCCAGCTTCGTCTCCAGAGTTGTTGGGCGCCAGCTTGCGGGGATCTCCCATCAAAGAAATAGCTCAAAACTGGACAAACTTCCGGTCGCTGAACAAAGCACTGAACCAATTATTTGTGAAAACCATCTACAGTATCCTCTGGGGATCCCCAATTTTCTTTAAAAACAAAATGAAACATCTACAAAACCCATGTAATGATAGAACAAAGCTTAATTACTTCTCGAAGCACCGCGTTGGAACAGCGGGGCGTTCTGGATCACAAGGAATCAACATGATTCAAGCTGCGCCTCTATCCCAGCAAAGATCGACATGCTTCAGAGCCTGTGACGGGATTCCGACAGTCAAGACTCGGGAGTTTGTGCATGGCCAGGTGGCCTTGAATCCATTGTGCAACCCAGTTGTTCTACTGAGGAATGCAGAAATCAAAAACCATATCAAACAAAGGGTGTGCCAGAGTTGCAGGCAAACACTGCGTGCCAGATCGTTCTCAGGGTCTTTCTTCCCATCATCTGACGTCACCAACATGCTAACTCCCCCTACTAAAACATCCTCATACCCTGGGATAAATCCCTCCAATCGCACGAAGTGTCTCTGGGTACGGCCCCATCTGAGACCGTGCAGACATCCCTCTGGTCCCAACAGACAAACAAAGAATGGGCAAAGATGCCTTTCCTGGAAACTACGCCGCCTTTGGGAGACCAAGAAGCCTCCATGCCTTTGGAGGCAGAGACCAAGAAGACTCCAGGGTAAACCCGTCCAGCCTCGACTCATTCGCCGGGGCCGCCTGGCCGGCGACTCTCGAGGTGCATCGCCCCAAACCAAAAGGGAAGGCCGGAAAAGGTGCCTCCGTTTTGAGGTCTGACTTGAATGGCCTCCAAGACTGGTCCACCCTGCTTTCTGGGTCTTCCGAACTCCGAAATGTCCGACGACTCGACGCTCCGACCGCGTTGATCTGGGCGCCCCGGCCCATGCCGCGATACCCGCCGCAACCCTGCATCGGCCCTGTGCGGAGGGCTCTCTGTGGCCAGGAACGGCCGTGGCACCGGGAAAACCAACAATGGAGATCTACTGGAGGCGCAGGCAGGTGCAAGCTGTGTGAAAGAACCAGAGCAACAGCTACACCAGGCTACACCAAGCATCAGAGGTCTTCGCGCCTGAGGTCCCAAGGGTGATGGACGGGATCGATCAACTGCACATCAGCTGAGGTTTCATGGGCCCCTCTTCATAGCCCAGAAAACCCTGAAAACCCTTAGAATATAGGACGGTGGACTGAAATCCCTGAACATCGCCTCCAACTCAAGGCCCAATTGACCTGGAAAGTCTTTGAGCTGAATGAATCTTTTGGCTTCCAACAAGGGTATCAAGCCACATTCAACATCGAAAAGGCGACTGTACCCCGCTTTTTCTTTGGTTGCCTCGTAAAGCCCTGAAAAAAAAATGAAACAAGAAACATATAAACGCCTGGCTGCACCAACGAACTAGTGATTCTGGGGAGGCTTTCCAATTGGAAAGGGTTCTTCGGCTGCTCCACGAGATCCAAAGCTAGCTGCGCACAGCCACCGCTGACCTTGCTGCATCATCTGATTCTGCATCCTGAGTCTCACAGGACGGCTGCTGGTCCAATGGCAGCCAGCAAGCCCATAGTCATGATGTAGATGCATGCTGAGAGGCCTAGAAGATCTCACATCCTGAGAGGCCTAGAAGATCTCACATCCACATCTTGGCCAAGAAAAACGGAACTTTCTAAGAGAAGGGAATGCCAGCTGTTCGGTCTACGCTGCAATGAAGACTCGGGACGACACCTTAATCAGAAGGAAAGTCTTGAAAACCCCCCTTCTTGCACGGCACTCTTTGGCTACTACGAAGTCATGTCCACACTGCTTTCAAAAGGCAACTCTCAATGTAAAAACTTCACCTAGCACACGAGTGTATAACGCGTGCGTGTGAAACATTGTGTAACATTTTCGAGGAGCAACGCCCACACGGTAATTGCAAGATCATCAGGGATCAGTTGAGAATGTAGACCTACATGTTGCGCTGCCAATGCGCCTTCATGTCTTTTGACTTCATTTGAAGTTGAAAACCTGCAAAAGACCATGTGACCAGCTTAACCAAGAAAAAACTGTGTGAAACAACGCCGATGAAACACATGAATTTGCTCGACTCCTTGCGCTAAAAAAGGAAAAAGTGCCTTTCCCGTCCAACTCTCCTTTTAGCTGCTCCGGGTTTTCAACCCACGGAATGGCGGGATGTCTCGGCCGCCCCCACATCATGCCGTCACCCATGCCTTGCCTCGGTTGTTGGAAGATGACAACAGACCGCGGGTTGGCTTCGTTGTTCTTCGGGAGGTTCTTTCGCTGGATCAGAAAACCCACCCAAAAACGCGTGTATCACGTGGGTCGAAAGGGTGGGGAAAGTGCCGATCCAGACCCCGAAACGCCGTTTGACATCGGTGGCCCCGCCAGAGACGCCTTCCGCAGACCAGACACACCAGATGCATGGCGTGGCCCCGGGAAAGTCGGTGGTGGGGAGCACCGGAGGTGCTGTGCTCCGGCTTCGATGAAAAGAACTACCACGGGGCAACGGGTCCTTTTGGGAAGAACGGTACCATGGGCC